ACCTCACACTTGTCATGATGGCTACCATCAACACATCAACAAATGACAAGTGCTGATCAAGATGTGGTGGGAATGTAGACTGGTGCAGCCATTATGGAAAACAGTATAGAGTTTCTTCAAAAAATTAAATTTGGAATTGCCATTTGACCCAGTGATCCCACTTCTGGGAATATATACTAAGAGACCCAAAACACTAATCAGAAAGAATGTATGCACCCCTATATTCATAGCAGCACAATAACAATAGCCAAGATGTGGAAATAGTCCTAGTGCTCATCAGTAGATGAATGGATAAAAAAGTTTTTATATTTACACCATGGAATATTATGCAGCAGTAAAAAGAAGGATCTCTTACCCTTTGAGACAACATGGAAGGACCTGGAGAATATTAGACTAAATGAAATAAGCTAGTCAGAGAAAGACAAGTATCATATGATCTCACATATGTGGGATCTAATAAACCAAATAAGCTGATGAGCAAAATAGATCAAGAGACATAGAAGCATGGAACAAACTATGGAATCTCAGAAGGAAGGCAGGGGAGGGTAGGTGAAGAACTTTCATGCATATATACATAACCCATGGACACAGATAATAGGGTATTAAAGGCCTGGGATGGGGGTTGAGGAAGGCTAGAAAGGGTGAATGAGGGAAAAGGGGGGCATATGTAATACTTTCAGTAATAACTATTTAATTTAAAAAGAGTCATTCTTTAAAAATTAATAAAGAATGGGATATTTATTGGGTGGATGAAGAATTATACAGGATTACCCATCTGGAGTCGCACTATCATCAGTCTTTGGTGGCCATATGCCAGTTGTACACCTGGTGAACTGCCTGGAGCATTCAGGAGAAAAAGAAAACTTAAGTGTTTTCATGCCAAAAGAAGCTTATGAAGTAACTGTAAGCACTGAAAATAGCATTTTGAAGAATGTCTAAATTCTTGCTCTAGCTCAATAGTAGATTCACATGTTTGGAAAGTAGATACTTAAATTTTTGCTATAAGGTTTTTGCATAACAATAATAGAAATGATAACATTATTACCTTCCATGACACTTAACAGTATTCAAAGCACATTTATGTGAATTATGTGCACAACCCACCACTCATGCTATAAAATGCCAGTTGATGACATATTTCCTAAGGATTATTATATAGATACTCCTGAGAAAGAATTTCTCTGATTGGTGCTTTAGCTTTCAATCCTTTGAAGAGTGAGTCAACAAGTCCCATTTGGGGAAGGAAGAAAGTTTATCTAATCTATACTAATAAAAGGGTAATATGCTAATTAGACAGGGTCAAATGGCCATCTACCGGAAGTCTGACTTCCTTCCAGACAAAGCCATGGTGGTCAGGGCCGAGGCAGAGGCAATTAGGGGCGAGATCAGGTTGGTAGGGGAGAGCAGTTAGGGGTGAGATCAGGCTGGCAGGGGATTAGAGGCGATCAAGCCGGCAGGGGAGGGCAGTTGGGGGCAATTAGGCTGGCAGAGGCAGTTAGAGGCAATCAGGAAGGCAGGCAGGTGAGTGGTTAGGAGCCTGAGGTCTTGGATTGTGAGAGGGATGTCACAGATTGGAGAGGGTGCAGAATGAGCTGAGGGACACCTCCCTCCCATGCATGAATTTCATGCACTGGGCTTCTAGTGAGTAATAAAAGCACACTTTCAAAAGCACCCACCTCATCGTTATAAAGACCCATCTTTCCTGGGCTTGCCCAGAACTTTATCTCCAGCTTTTAGTTTCATTGGAGCCACCAGGGGGCTTCTCCAATTTTTCCATTTGTTCAAGAAATTAATTTTTAAAAATGGATTAGAAGACTATTAAATTCAAACTCAATCTGTTTCACTATTTTGCCAGGGTTTATAGTTCTAGCAATGCTTTCCTGCTCTCCTGACCATTTTTATTAACTACTGCTAAACTCTACATGATACAAAAAAAAAAAAAAGAAAAAAAATATAGAAAACAAATTATCCACATTTTCAAGGCTGAGGAAGGCATAAGCTGAAGAAATTCTAATAAAATTCTAAGTCTCATACAATTTGAACTTCCTACCTTTGCAATATTAAATGTACATTTTATATACAATTTCCATGGAAACTTACAGGTGTTAAATTAGGAACAGGAATAGAGTCAGACAGGGGATAATCTAACATAATAATACAGAGTTCAAACATAGTTTGTTCCCTTTTTTTATATTATCATCTGGATGTCTGCAAAATTTCATGCAAATCAATCTTAATTTATTATGTGCTTTAGCTCTTTCATAAAATATTCTTACCATAGTATTTCTATATTTTAACTATAAAATTCCCCATAAATAGGGCACACATATTTTTTAATATTTGGAATAATTCAGCTCATACAAGAGTCCAAAAGAAGAAAAACTTTTTCCAGGTAGAGAAATCTAGTTTTTTACTAGTTTCCAATAGTTTCTAATACTCGTGTGTTTTTCAGACTTAAGGGAACATATTTGGAAGACACGGTTAGAATGCACTGTTCTTATTAGTACCCTCATATTCCATCTATCACAAGTCTAGATTAACTTTGGTCCAGCTCTGTCAAACTAAGTGATCACTTTGTAAGAATTCTCAGGTAAATTTGGATTGTTAAAAAGATTTTGTTGGTAACCCAATCCTGTGTAAGAGGCTGCGTTTGGTTCTGTTTTGAAATTTAATCCTTCCCATTCATTCTGGAGGATGAGTAAGGAGAAGCCATTGAGTGATAAGCACACCTCCTCGGGTATCACAGAATTAAGCTGGTATCACCATATTCTCAGATGGTGGTTGATGATGCCTGTCAAGTAAGTCCAATATTTGGTGTTATTTAGGGAACGTTTGAAAACTTAGAGGACTCTTCAATTTTAACTGGGATAATTGGCATAGACAGACATTTCTTGGAAGACCTCCTGGAGAAGTTCTCAGAGGCGTGTATACACATGCCCCTGTTTTACAGGACAATCATCCTTCAGACCACCCATCTGTCTCACACAGGCAGAGCATGTCATAGGTGCCATCTCTCAATAGCAAATTTCACATTATTGGAGTTTTGGCTATTGTATTGACTCATGATTCAGAGAGATCATTTTGGGTTATTTGGAATTAGTAGGCTCAAACTAGTTTCTTTTCCACATTCCAAGAGTATTTTTTCCCTGAAAAAAAAAAGAAAAAGGAAAAAGCAGATGTATAAAGCAAGTTCCAGTGTTTTTATTCAAATACAAGCCCTAATATTCTTTCTGGGTGCTCTTCAAAAGGAAAATATCAGTTTAGACATACCATGCCACTAAAAGCACCTTTAAAAAGTCATTTGGCCTTCTAGCAGGACCACACTCAAAGCAGAAATCACAATTATCTCTTTCTTTAAAATCTCCAAAGTGTTTTTGAAATGGTTAATAATAATAAACGAGATAAGGGAATCCAGGTGGCATGACCATGCAGCACCAACAGCAGTTCCTCCATGTGTTAGGTGTCAGCCAATCTGCAGAACAAAGCTGACCACATTTCATAAGTAGTATTTTAAGAAGTGAAGTATTATGTACCTTTCAAAACATGTGCTTCTATTTATTCTTTGTCAGCATGCAGCAGCACCTGTGTTAGTTTTATGCCACTGCATCTAGATTTTCTGACAAGCAGAATTCGGGTAAGTTCCAGTTGTTATTTCACCTGTGGAGTAAGAGAGCAAAGACCTCCCAGAACTTTGAATCTGAAGTACTAAAATTATTTGGAAAACACCACCACATTTGCAGCATATTGATTTTGTTAAGTAAAATCTGGATATCTCCATGAATTATATTGTTTACAAATATACAATAGTCATTATTTGTTATTCACTAAGTACTGTGCTAAGTACTGCACATACATCATCCTATTGAATACTTCTAATAACACTATGAGAAAGCTATTAGCTTCCTCATTATCTAGGCAAAGAAATATAAACTTTAAGAAGTAAAGTAACTTGCAAAATGTCTGCCAGGCAATGAGTCAGGTAATGGACTCAAGCCTAAGCAGTCTGACTTCAGAGCCTGGAGTTAAATCATTACACCAGTGTCTCACAAAGGATGTGACATAAACACGGGGGGACTTTAAACTTTTTCTATTAGTTGTACATTTCTTTTTGAAGTGCATCAGAGAAAAAATAAAATAGTCAACCGATCCACTTCCCTCCATGTCCACCATTGCTGCTGCCTGTTCCCCTTCCGCCCAAATCACTGCAGGAACTTTTAAAATTAATAAATAAATTAATTAATTTATTTATGTTTTATTTTTTATTGATTAAGGTATTACATATGTATCCATATTCCCCCATTGCCTCCCTCCCCCCGCTCGTGCCCCCTAATGTCTGTGTCCACTGGTTATCCTATCTAATAAAACAGTAATTTGCAAATTAACCATTACTCCACAACAAAAATGGCTGCACCCATAGACACAAGATGGCCCAGGGAGGGCTGCCACTGAGAGCAGGCAGCATGAGGCCCTGGCTGTTTGCTTGGGAGGTGCCGGCGCAATAAGCTCCCAGTGTCCACCAGGGCAGTTTATTTTCTCTTTAGTTCCATTGCCCTAGGAGCTGTATCAGTGAAGATAATGATTTGGCATATGTCTGAGATTTTGCTGCCTAGGGATGGATACTTCTAAGATTTTTATGGATTCCCATCTTACATTTAAGTCCTTTATGCATTTTGAGTTTATTTTTGGTATGGTGTATGTTGGTAATCTAATCTAGTTTCTTTCTTTCTTTCTTTTTTTTTTTTTGCATATATCTGTCCAATTTTCCCAACACAATTTACCAAAAAGACTGTCTTAACTCCCTTATATGCTCTTACTCCTTCAGTTTTGAATGATAGCCTTACTGGATAAAGTCTTCTTGGATTCAGTCCCCTGCTCTGCATTACTTTGCAAACTTCCTACCATTTCTTTCTGGCCTGATGTGTTTCTGTTGAGAAATCAATTGATAATCTAATTGGAAATGGCTTGTATGTAATGTTCTCCCCACCCCACCCCTCTTTCTTGCAGCCTTTAAAATTCTCTCTTTGTCCTAGGGTTTGCCATTGTAATTCTGAAGTATCTTGGTGTGGGTCTTTTCTGGTTCATCTTGTTTGGGACCTCTGCTTATGTGACTTTTTTCTTCTCCAAATCAGGGAAGTTTTCTGACATTATTTCTTCAAATAGGTTTTCTAACCTTGTTCCTCTTCTTGTCATTCTGGCACACCTATTATTCATATATTCCTCCATTTCATGTTGTCCCAAAGCTCACTTGGGTTCTCTTCCTGTCTTTTAATTTTTTTCTCCTATTGCAGTTCAGATTGTGTGTGTTATGCTTCCCTGTCTTCTAATTTGCTAATTCAGTCCTCCGCTTCTCCTAGTTTACTGTTGAAACTTTCCATACTGTTTTTTATTGTAGCTATATCACTCTTTATTTCCTCTTGATTCTTACATAAGTTGTTGATTTTTTTCATCCATCTGGTTTGTTAACTGTATGATTTTTATTTTTAATTCTTTTTCTGACATATTGCATGCCTTCTTTTCACTTAGTTCCTTATCTTGAAATTCCTCCTTTTCATTCCTTTGGTGTTTTCTTTGTCTCCCCATTTTTGCTCTTACCAGAAAAATCTAGTTGTCAAGTTGTGCTTAAGCTACACCTTGGGTGGCAGTAGCTACTCAGACAGCAGTGGCTCCTTGGATGGGCACTGCTCATGCTGCTGCTTGCAGCAGTGGTGGCTCCTCTGGCTGATGGGGGTGAGCCGCTTGTGTAGCTGCTGCTTGTCAAATGGTGTTGGGCTGCTTGTAAGGCTGATGTTCCTCAGAGAGGGGCAGGCTGCTTGCAAAGCTACTGCTCCTCTGAGGAGAAAGGGCTGCTCTCAGGGTTGCTTCTCCTTGGACAGGGACAGGCTGCTCATGGCTGCTGCTTGTCAGATGAGGAACCAGAGTGGACCACTTGTGTGGCTACTGCTCCTTGGACCAGGGCAGGCTGCTTGTGTAGCTGCCCCTCCTTGAACAAGGTGGGCTGTGAATGGCTGATTCTTATCAGACAGAGGTGGGCTACTCATGAGGCTACTGCTTTTTAGTTGAGGGCAGGCTGCATTCAACTGCTGCTCCTTGGCCAGGGTAAGGCTGCTCACAGGGCTGCTGATCCTTGTACAGGTGCAGGCTGCTCGTGGGGCTGCTGCTCCTCAGATGGGGGTAGGCTGCACATGGCTGCTGTTCTTCAGATGGGGGTAGGCAGCTCACACAACTGCTGCTCATTGGATGGGGGTGGGCTGCATGGGGCCACTGCTCCTTGGATGGGGGATGGCTGCTCAGAGGGCTGCTGCCCCTTGGACAAGGTAGGCTGCTTAGATGGCTGCTGCTTGTGCCATTGCAGTGCCCTGGGCTAAAGCGTTGGGCCAACCAAAGGGGAGCATGCTTCAGAATTCACAGGAGCCAGTGGCTGGGGTAGTTGGAGTTTCAGTGTCTGTGGGACCACAACTGAGGCAGCAGGTTCTTGGCGGGGATGGCTGTAGAGTTCTGAGTGGTGTCTGAGGGCATCCTGGGTAGAGGTAAGGCTGGGCTCCCTGTCACAGCAGCTCTCCCCTCAAGATTTTGTGGTCTCTGTGGAAGAGCCTGCCTCCCTGGAACTGTTTGCATCAGTAGCAAAGGCTGCCTGGCTAGGCAAGACTGGTCCACCAGCCTCCAAAAGTCCTGTGGAATCTATCTCTCAATCAAGTACACATACACACACACACACCCCACATGTTCCCACACTTTCCTTTTATTCCCTTTCTCTCTCTCCCTTCCTTTTCCCTTCCTCCCTCCCTCCCTCCCTCATGCACCCTCCCTTACTGCCACCATCTTCCTGCCTCTGTAGTTGGGTCTGGAGTTTTATTGACCGATTTATGGATGGAGTATCCTCTCTGGGTGTCTGGTCATGTGGCTCGCCCTCTACCACATTGACCAAACAGGACAAAATGCAACTTGACAAGACACGACACAAAGGGAGCAAAACATGAATGTACTCACAACACGGATAACCCTGATGTAAGTGACCACCAGATAAAAGAGAACTAAGGGAGAGAAAAGAGAACACAAATGGTATCAAGGAGAGAAAAAATGGTAAGATAAAAAACAAAAAGAAGAAAAAGGAAGAAAAGGGGGAAAATATATGGGGAGAAAACACCACAGAAAAAAACAGATAAACCAAAAAATGCAAACAGCAAACACCCAGAAAAGAGGGTGGGGGCAGAATATGTAGAGGCCGAGCTTATATACAGAAATTAAGGTTAAGGACTTGGATGAATATGGGGAAGACCTCAGTTCAGTGGAGAGGAAGTAGAAAGAGGATGAGTGAATAAGAAGAAAAAGAAAGAAAAGAAAAAAATAATTTAAAAAGTAGGATAAAATAAAAAATAAAAAGAATGATGAAAAATAATGCTAAAAGAATGAAGAAACCAAAGGAAAAAGAAAATAAAGAAAAAAGCCATAACAAAACAATAATAAAATAAAAATAAAAATGAAAAAGTGAAGTGTTGTTTGTTTCTGCGAGTTTTAATGCCCCATGGGGGCTGATTTAAGATACCACTCTTCTGTACTGTCTGCCATTTCTCAATTTCCTATTAGGTAGTCAGCACTGTATTGAAGTTCCAAGCAGTCTATCACTACTCTGTGTCTATCTCTACCACCTTGACTGCCAGTAGTCAGGACCAATCTGTCCACTTAGCTTCTCTTCCTGTTGTCAATGTTAATCTCTCAAGCAGTTGTTTTTGACAGGGCTATAGTTGGGGATTTTGCATTATCACTTTCCAGAACTGAACGGCCCCTCTTCAGCCCAATCCCTCAGGGCTCTCAGGGACTATTATTTTGTATCCTTTGTAACACTCAGAGTGTAGTCTGGGTGTGGCTGATTGGTTGACTGGAGACTGAAGAGAGGGGATATCTCTTCAGGAGAAAATGGCTGCTTAGGTCTGGAGTGTCAGTTAGTCCCAGTTTCAGACTCCCAGCCACCTCTCCCTGACCAGCTATTCTCCCCAGCTCCACAAGTCACACCTCCACCTGTACCTCAACCACAGGTGAATGTTTGTATTTGAAAGGTCATATGAAATAGGTTTAGCAAATAAAAGCAAAGACCAAAAAGAGGAGAAAAAACTGTGCTACTGCAAGTTTCTCTCAAACCCCCCCCCCCCCCCTCATGGGCACTGTGAGCTTGGGTAAGGTGACCAGATTTCCTGCTTTTTGCGGGACAGTCCTGATTTTTAACAATTTGTCCCATGTCCTGCAGCATTTTTAAAAAGTCTCGATTTTTGGAAAGAATGCACTACAAGCTAGGGAACAGCGGGAGAATGGGAAGGGAATATACGGTTTTCGGCTGCCATGTGGCTATTTAGCCAGGATATGAGTTTTATATTATTTTTGTTAATTTTATAATGTTAAACTTTAATAATAACAAAAAGTTGTTGAGAACTGATTATCGAGAACTGCTTATCAAAGTTCAAATTGTTGATTAATTGTTAGAATTTGACCACCATTGTTTGGACTTAATGAACAATGGCATTTTTGGGGACTGGCAATGACGAAAACATTTTGTAACTGTTTCTCAGATGATACACATTGTACTGCGTGGTAGTAAGCTAGTTAAACAAGTGATGTCATTAAAAATCAGCTATTCAGATAACTTAGGTAATTTATTTATTTATTTATTTATTTATTTATTTCATAAATACATATATTTTCTTGAATTTAGAAGACAGTACTCGTATTATTTATATTTTATAGTGGTGGCAAAAAGTCTAGTGCCAGCCTTGAAAGTGTGAAAGTGACATTTACGACTATACATAATTTTTTTTATTTATTATATTTATAAATTGTACTTATATTGAAATTTTAAAAAATATATTACAATACTATTTTTGCGTTCTATGAAAATTTTTGTTGCTCCATATAGACCACATTTTTAATCAAGAACACCCCCTTCTCCCCCCCCCCCCCCCCCCCCCCTGTTAATGGTGTCCCGCTTTACCAATGTTAAATCTGGTCACCTTAAGCTTGGGCAGTTCTTCAGGCTGTCCTCTCCAGGCTCAGCCTCTCATGGCTGTGTGCTTAGATCTAGAATCTCCTGCTGCCAGCAACCCTGTGGACCTCCTTTCCACATCAGTTGTTACACCTCTTCCAAGGGATGAGGACTTAGTGCCATGTGGCTTTCTTTTGACCCTCTTTCTTAGCTAAGAGGTCTCACAATTCTCTCCAGCCCAGATCTCCGATTTTGCCTTTCTCCAGGCATCCTCTTCCCTTCTAAGTTGTAAATAGTCTCAACAACTGTGTCTGTTTCCCCAATTCCAGGTGGATATTATTGAATTTAGTTGCTTCTTCTATCTTGTCTGGGATAAGGCTCAGGACACATCTACCTATTCTGCTGCCATTTTTTCTCTAGGAACTTGTTAAGTGGTTTCCAAAATTGCTTGTCTAGGGTGAGCCCTTCTCACAGAAGCCTGAGTGATGATTATAAATGGAAAACATTTCATGTCCCTCCCTTGCTGAAAACCCTTCAATGGTTCCTCATTTCACTCAGAAGAAATTTCACATTCTTTCCCAGGAGCTGTGAGGTTCTGCCTGATCTGGTTCCTGCCTGACTCTGAGGCCTCATCTCTAGTCTCTTCTCCTTCCTTTGTCCAAGCCTTCTCACTATTTCTTCGTTATGGTGGACTCATTCTCACATTGGGACACTAACCCTTCTAATTTTCACTGCTGAGACCTTTGTGGGATTTCACTCAAGACTCCATTCAATATCAGTCCTTCATAGGGTCACTAATCCAACTTTATTTCCTTTTTTTTCTCCTTACATTCTCTTATAGTACTGAGCTGACATTGACTTTTTAAAATGCCCTATTTTTTTTTTTTTATCGACTCTCTTTTCCATTAGAATGTCATTTCTGTGAGAGAGGTTCTTTGTCCATCTTAGTCACAGCTGTGTTTCCAGCTCTGAACAACATGTCACAAAATACATGTTTAATAAATATTTGTTAATTTGTTACTTTAGAGTGAAGATAAAGATAGGTTTGTAAAGAAAATATTAAGGGAATTTAATCATTATCTATCCTATATAATAAAAACCTAATATGCTAAGTGTCTGACTGTTCACCTGTAGGGCCAGACACTATGATGCGAACTGACCACTAGGGGGCAGATGCTCCAACTGATAGGTTAGCTTGCTGCTGGGGTCCAGCTGATTGGGACTGGGTGAGATGGGCTGGACACACCCTGGAGCCCTCCCACAGTACCCTCCCCCGCTGGCCAATTTTCTCCAGTCCCTCCCCAGCCAACCAGTCCAAATTGGCCTTGGGATTGGGTGAGATGGTCCCAATCAGCCCCAATTGGCCCCGATCATCCCCTATTGGCCTTGACCGGGACTAGGAAAGATGGGCTGGACATGCCCTGGATGAATCTGTTTATTTGGCTGATTTCAGAAAGATTGAGGGACCCCACTAGTGCACAAATCCA